CTGAGAGGCTAGTTTAATCATACATTTGTAATAATTGAAATTGTTTCTGCACTATAGTCTTCACTCGCGCGCTCTCTCTCTCTCTCTAGATGCAGATGCATTATAGTTCAAATAATGTATGAACTTTCTAGCATCTGCTACTAATTCATCAGAGAATCATATGCAGGGCGTGTTACTCTCCTTGCAGAGGGTTGTCGGGGATCATTATCAGAGGTATGTGTTTGTTCTTGTTTCTTCATTGTTTGGGATAATTCTTATAATTATGGCCAGAAATTGTTTGCTGAAAGTGATCTTCACATTAATATATATACAGCAACTAATTGGGAAATACAAACTGAGGGAGAAAGGGAATGGGCAACATCAAACTTATGCTTTAGGAATTAAGGAGGTAACCATCAACTTCTCTTTTCATCAGACCATTCTTCATTCATGGAGAACTTGTTTGTTGATTTTAGCTGCTAATTAGTTCATGAAGTTCTTAGGTATGGGAAATTGATGCAAACAAACATCGACCTGGATACGTGCTTCATACCTTAGGTTGGCCACTCGACCACAAAACTTATGGAGGATCTTTCTTGTACCATATGAATGACAGACAGGTATGGACTATTGCTTCTTTATCCAGGCGAACCATAGGGAAAATAGCCATTGCTTCTTCTATTTGCTATTATTATTAATATTATTAATATTATTATTATTATTATTTAGTATTACTATTATTTTCTATTACTTTATTTTTCATAGGGATTGCATGTAAGTGGAATTAGAATGTTTGAAAAAGGGCATGGTGCTTTGATTTATTTACTTAATTCAAAGGAGTGGCTTTACTGTTCAATTTGCTTGTGGATGAGAATTGTTGAGATTTATTTGGTGTTGCTCTCTTGGGTGATATGCAGGTTGCAATTGGCCTTGTAGTAGCTCTTAATTATCATAACCCTTTCCTGAACCCATATGAGGAATTCCAGGTAAAAAATATAGAGAATGACATTCATTTTATAACTCCCTTTTTTCATTCATGGGTCTTTGCACTCTCTCTTCTCATATTTCAATACCACACAACTCAACTTAAAAAGGCTATTGGAAACCATCTGGAGTACACTGAATCTTAAAACTCACTAATCAATTACAGAGTACTAGATATGGTGTTTGTGTTAGCATTACATGTGTAATTTGCTTCCTAAAATCTGAATCTTATATGAGAATGTTTCAACATTTGGATTTCTTTTCCTTTTTTATATGGAGTGATTATTCTATTCCTCGGCCTGAGAACTTCAAATGCCTAGTTCTTCATTATATGATGTACTTTCTATAACCATAATTTCACTTTGGATATATTTCATGTATCCCCCCCCCCCCAATTGTCAATCACAGAAATTAAAGCATCATCCTTCCATTAGACCAGTTCTTGAAGGCGGAGCAGTTCTCCAATATGGGGCTCGTACTTTAAACGAAGGAGGTTATCAGGTTCGCTAGTAACTCTCTTAATCCTGTAATGATTGTGGGTATATATTGTAGTACTAAAGTTGAGTGTAAATAGTTGACACTAACCTCATAGACTGGTGGTTTTGCACTTCAACATTTTACTTCTTGCTATGTGTTGTGCAAGTACAAATATGATATAGTTAAGTTTCAGTCTGTTCCATATCCAGTGTTCCCGGGCGGAGCAATTATAGGATGCTCAGCAGGATTCCTCAATGTACCCAAAATAAAGGGGACTCACACGGCCATGAAATCAGGTATTGCTTAATGTGTATAATGTCTTGTGGTGGATGGTTCCAACTGCTTTCAGAAGTTCATTTAAACACTGATTTTCTGGAACCCCTGCGTTTGAAGAAATGTGTAAGTCTATAAAACCCACTTTTGCAGAAACAAATGACAGTACACTCTTAAAATCATCATTATTTTGATAAAAAAGAAACCTTTTTTTTTGTCATGCACTCAATCATAAAGCGTTGGAGATTCAGGGGATATAATTTAATAAAAAAGTAATTGGATGGATTTATACTCTTTACGCATATTAAAATTGGCCGAAATCACCTTTCAATTTTCTATCTTCAAGAAAAATATCAACCTTACTAAAAAAACAAGATGTGCCCGCTGGGACCTAGTACATTACACTTTGAGCATTGAAACTTTAAAATGTTGTATTCTCAACTCTTAAGTACTGAGTAATTGTTTTTTGTAGTCTATGAGACTATGACCTAGATTTTAACCTTTTAATATGACTAAAACCAAAAGATAATAACATCACACTTTTGTGTAGCTGTTATTGTTCTAGCATGACCTAAAGATAGAACAAGACAGAAGGAAAAGTGTCCCAAAATAAACTAGTAGAGCTTTAGGTATGATTTACAAAAAATACAAAATGGTTTCCTTTGTTGATAAATTATGCAAAGAATATGGAGAAATTTGAACTAAATAGGACTAAGAATAAGTAATTTCCCAATGTAGGACAAAAACTTTTTTATTCCCTAAATAGGACTTAATAATGTCTAGTGAGAGGAATAATGTCCAGTGATGGTGGACATTTACTTGAATAATGACTAATGGATAATGACCAATGGTCCTACATTGGGAAATAAAAACATATGGTCCTATATTGAGAAAGTCATTATGTTTTAGACTTTTAGTCCTATTTAGGTAAATTCCTCAAGAATATGTTCATTGATACTGTAAAATTTAAATCCACTAGGAATGCTAGCAGCAGAATCTGCATTTGAAATGCTCTTGGGAGGGTCAAGTTTGGAAAGTTATTGGGACAACTTGAGAAATTCATGGATATGGAAAGAACTTTACCATGCAAGGAACTATCGTCCGGTGAGCTCTTTTTGGTCCTTATTTTTACTACTATTGCGCTGTTGGCAAGCTGTAAGAAGTTTGTCAGTTGTTTGGATACATGTTTGTGTCAGCTGCTTGTGTCAGTTGTTTGGGTACATTTTTGTATCGGTTTAAGAAAAAATTTGTTTGGTGTGGTGAGCTGTTTGAGGTTTTGGATTTCACGGTAAGAAGTTGTAGATCAAAATGACTCTCCAAAAAGCTTAAAAAACAAGCTTATTGGAACCACAAAGTTGTCTAAAAAAGCTGTCCACCAAACACTCCTAGTAGCTGTTAGGCTAATCATTTGCATCAAAAAACACTTTTTCCACAAAAAGCTGCCCAAACGCTCCTTAACAACATTCTCTATATATATCGTTCTTTCCTATATCTGCCTTCTAGAATGATAAATGATTTTGTTGGCCTTTTTATACCTTTATGTGGTATTTATTATCTCAATTGTAAGGCCACAATATTTTTTGTTTCTATTGTTAGGCATTTGAATATGGGCTATTTCCTGGTTTGGCATTGAGTGCCGCAGAACGGTTAGATGTTGTGTCCTCATGAATCAAAATAACCTTTCAGTAGGTATGCTACTGATCAATCTGCGTTTCTTTCTTTCTTTCAGCTATATATTCAAGGGAAGATCTCCATTGACATTTAAGCATGGGAAACCTGATCATAAAGCAACCAATGTAAGGAACAATTCTCTCAAACAAACAAACAAGAAAATGAGCATCATTGTGTAACCTTAGAAGCCTTATGATCTTATTAAGCATATTACATGTGCTCATATTGTTGTGGAATTAATAGATGGCTTAGGGTGACCATATGCATGGTACTTGATAATGGCAGAGTTAAAATTTGCAGGACGCAAAATCATCATTTCCCATTGAGTACCCAAAACCAGATGGAGCCATCTCTTTTGACATACTGACCTCTGTGTACAGGTAAAATCCAAATTTCATCATTGCAAGGCAATTCACCCATCACCCTTTACTTTCTTCCATCTTTTATCTGCTGATATAATAATTTATAGTAACATCTATATCCTTGTTTGATTGGTTGTAATGTTGTGTGGCATGATAGGAGCAACACAAATCATGATCATGACCAGCCAGTCCATCTGCAATTAAAAGATTCAACTACGACTCCACGTGTTGTTAACTTGCTCAAGTACGCTGGACCAGAATCACGATATTGCCCTGCCCGAGTTTATGAGTAATAATATGAAGATGAGCCATTTTTCATCAAACATCCGTATCAACTAATATGATCTGTGTTAGGTTCTGTGATTATATTAATCTTAATCAATATGATAGGTATACACCAGATGATAAAGGACAACTGAAGTTGCACATTAATGCTCAAAACTGCTTGCATTGTAAGGTAATTAGTTTCAGTTCACAAGCTCACTTCTATAAACTCTCAACTATCTTCTTCTTCTTCTTCTTACATATTCATCATTCATACCATTAAGAGTTCTGTCTTCAACATCTTTTGAATAGGCTTGCGATATCAAAGATCCAACGCAGAACATCAAATGGACAGTGCCCGAAGGGGGTGGTGGCCCAGGCTATAGAATCATGTAGATTACTCTGCGGGGCCCATGTTCCCACATTTAGTAAACTTGATGAGAAAAGAGTGTCTTGTGTGGAACCTTAGCTCTCTCGATATAAAATAATCACCCTTGTTTGTCTGCTTTGTCAAAAAAAACTTATAATATCACCCTGTTTCTCTATATGACGCCGTATTAATAAGAAAAGCAAAAAAATGGTGACACTTATGGTTGTATAGACCCTATGTAATACCTCTATTAATAATATCTTTATTCTTGTTTGGTTTGTTGAATGGTATGACAAGGAGCAAGAACTTTTTTTCACCCATTGATTCATGGTTGTCATTTGTATGGTATGTGCCAATGTGCCTATTCAGGAGACAAAAAAGGCCTCGTACAAACAATGTGTACAAACAAAAAAAACATTTTTGTTTGCACACATACAAATGTTGAACGAGCGCATATTGTAATTTGTAATCCCTTCAAAACAGCCTGCAACAAAATATTACTCCGTAGAATTTGTTGCAGTCTACACTATTGCATCCTACACATGGAAATGAGTAATGACAAACAAAGCTGAAGGAGAGAGTTGCTCGATCAAATAGCCAACAAGGGGTTTTTAGCAAATCCAGTACAAGATTAACACTGAGGATGTTTTAAAAAAAGGGGGAATCAAGTCAAATGAAGAATTTTTGCAAATTTAATAAACTAAAATAAAATGGGATCCTATGAAGTACTGTACTAGAATGAACATACATTGGAGATAAACACAAACCAACTGAAACATGCCATGTGACAGATTCCAACAAACTATAATGCTTTACATCATTAGTCCTTCAAAGCAGTACATCCATCTGAAAGCCATTTGAGCCCTCGTTGACGATGACTTTCTCAGCTTCAAGTCTCCATTGAGCCACACTCTCACATATTGGCTTAGAATGCCAATGTGTCCTCAGGTCAAAAGCTTAATGCCGAAGATCACATTCCTACATCAAGCTATAAAAAGTTCATCTTCATAGACTCATGGGCGACAAAGGAATTTAAGTTCAAATCAAACTCCCCTAGAAACTTCGGGTTTGTGCAAATGTTGTTCCTGCTGCTGCTGTTGTTGTTGTTGCTGCTGTTGTGCTGGAGATCTAAGTTGTTGCATTTGGTGAAATTGATGCTGCTGCTGCTGCTGATGTTGTTGCTGCTGCTTTTGTGAGTGTATTTGGAGCTGCTGGAACTGTTGTGTTGTTAGCAATGTGTGCATGGAATGGTTGTTGTGATAGAACTGCTGGTTTGCTCCATAGGATGGAGGGAAGTTCATTATAGGTCCACCATTACCAACACCTTGACCAGTCAAGACTTTTAGATGTTGTATCTCTTCTTTCAGGGCATCATTTAAGGCTATGTACACAGAGGGAGAAAAAAAAGAAGGAAACATGATTCGAATTAATTAACATCTTGCAACTAAGATGAAGAGAAAAAACACTGGATACTGTGAACACATGACACAACTTGAGGCATTTTTCATAATGACATCATAATGTAAAGGGTAAAAAAACTTGTAAAAAGCTCTTTGGAAAAGGGAAATTCAGTACTCAAACCCATGATTAAGAGTTAAAACCCAACAAAACAAACATAAAGAAGAAAATAGGCAATAGGACAAGAAAATCTCTAAACAGTGTCATAACAAATTCTCACCATCTTGCAAGTGCACTTGTTGTTCCATTGTTTGCAGGCGCACTTTAAGTTCACTGTTTTCGGCAGTCAAGCCATTTGTGTCCCTCTGTCAAAAAAAGAGACAATGTCAAACACATATATGACTTCATTCATATTTAAGGCATCACAGTTAGGGAAAATACACATTTAACTCTAAAGGGAGTATTATCATCACCATACTGTAATCCCAACTACATCGGGGTAGGTGAGTTGGGGTAGGTGACATGAAATCCAGTGTCAATTAATTATCTAAAACTATTTGATTATTTAACACAATAATTAAATGCAAAAAAACATAGTGCCAAGATTTTACGTCAGCCATTAGTGCCCTTCTGCCAGAGAGACAATGTCAAACACATGGGCCAGCCATTAGTGTCCCTCTGTCAAAAAGACAATGTCAAACAGATACATGAACCTGTTCGTATTTAAGGCATCACAGTTAAGGAAATTATACATTTGACTCTAAGGGGATTGTATTATCATAATCACCATACTGTAATCCCACCTATGTGGGGGTCTGTGACACGAAGATTATGGTTTCAACTAACTATTGATTTATTTATTTATTTATTTAACACTATAATTTAATGCAAAAAGCATAGTGCCAAAATTTTATTCTAGATGTCCTTCATGCCGGATCTCTCTAAAAAAATAATTAATGAGATTAAATGCTAAACCAGACACAATAGGTACAGCAATAATTGATGGGATTGGACCAATTAATGCTAATGCCTAATGTGCTCCCACTGCTCCACATAATCAGACAAGAAAAGATATTTAAATATTTTCATCTGATCAAGTGACCTGCTCCCCAGCACCTATAATATGTCCTCTAGGGTTGTTTGGATGAGTTTCTAGGAGAAGGTTTTGGAGTGCTTATTCTATTTCTTAATATATAGTTGAGAGTTCATACAATATAGATAAGTTAATACTTAATATGATATGTGATTGTCTAACATAACAATCATCTTTACTACATTTTTAGAAACATAATATTTATCAACACATAAACTATGCCCTCCACAACCCTTCATCCAAACAGACCCTATTAGTCTGCTTGGATGTAGGGGAGGGTAAGCAATTGAAGGGAAAAGGAAGGAGGGTAAAATTGTTGATTTACACAACCTTGTTTGGGAGGAGAAGTTGATGAAAGTGTTTGAAGAACTAAACTACTTTTACACTCCAAATTGAAGAGAGAGATTTCTACTCTTCAGCGGGCAAGAGATAGAATAGTTCTTCCTTCCCTTCCAACCTTCCATTTTATTCCATTCACTTCTTTAAAACCCTCTCAAACACATAACTTTCAATATTTTTCATTAAACACATTACCCTTTCTTCCATTCACCAGAAGTCCAAACACGCCGTAAAGTAGGCTCGAGAAAATCAATTTAGAACACTTGTTGGATATACATTTTGGGTCCTACTCGTATACACACTACCTTGACTGATCCGTTGATAGTAGGAATCTACCTATTTGCTTCCATAGCAATCGCACTTGGCATTTGATTTCTTCTTATGCATATTACACAAACCAATTTAATAAGAACACATTCCCCTATGATTCAACGACACACGAAGCCTTCAAGTCTTCATATTTGCAAGACAAAATCCACGCATCACCACCCACATAAAATGCAGAAAAAGAAAACAAAAATTGAAAAAACACGATTGAAAATCATATATATACCTGCAGAAGGGTCAACTGAGCAGACAATGAGGTGGCTTCTGTTTGAAGAGTCTGGACCTTTCTTTCAAGCTCAGCAATATATCTCATTTTCCTTTCCTTTGATCTAGCGGCAGATTGCCTGTTGGCCCAAATCCTGGAACACAGAAAGGATAAAAAACACTATGAGAGTATGAGGGCATGCAATTATGCAAAAACAACCTCTCTCTCTTAGGGACCCATAATGTGACAAGAGGATAAGAATTCTATGCAGACATTGAAATGATTGTGCTGGCACGGTAATTAACAAATTGCTATGCTCTTGGAGTCTTGGGGAAAAATACTTTAAGCATTTCACTGGTGTAGCCTCATTAAATGAATTAGTAGACGGTTTGGTAAAAGACATGCCTCTCACCAGCTCACATGACATGTCATACCTTCCAATAAACTTCACAATGTAGAAAACCAGTACCAAATGAAAACAAGTAGAGCTTGTTTGGTTAGTCTTATGTAAAAAACTAAAAAACTTTTTGCATAAGAGCTTTTATCAACTATGTTGCATGGAGTAAGTGCCGCTTCCCAATCCTATTCCTGTTTGGGTACTTGGAGACGTCCAAAAGCCATTGAAAAAAATAGAAAAGTTGATGTTACACAGTCCCCATTTGAGTACCTGCCCTGTCACAGTGCAACTCTCAAAGGCACAAATTTTAGATTTTGAAGGGTGTTAGGCAACAAGCTTATTTGAGTGTGAGATAACTTTAGTTTGCTTCTCTCAAAAGTACTTCTTAAAGGAGATGACAAATAAGTGCTTTTGGTAGGCCACATTGCATCTGAAACATTTAGACTCTGGCATATACGAGCCTGCATCCCTGCCCTCCCATGTTTATTATGCATGCAGACAAATAAGGGATGCCCAATATCTAACTTATCTTATGAGCCCATCTTGGTAGGAAAAGGGAATACAGACAATAAATGACTAAACCATTGATAACACGGTGAATACAAACAACAACAGCAACAACCCAAAATAAAGTATTATCCCAACTCTATTAGAGCATGGGGTGCAGTCTTACCCTGTAACAAACAAAGACTGTATTGATAGACCCTCGATGCGTTATTTCATTTACTTCCCAAAGCTTCATAGAAAGTAAGAAGCAAGAGAAGTTTAATGTGCCAATTTAATTTAGTCCATTACTTTCCCAAAGTTACAATATTGTTCGTAAAAACCATTTTAGCTCCATTGGCACTAGGAGAGTGAATAAAGGGAAAAAATGCATTACAGTACTCACCATATATAAAAAAAAATGGGCATCAAACTGAAAGAGACATTATATAGCAACACGTGTTATGAACTGACAATTGAAATAATATCAAGGCTAGTTTATCAAAGTGAGCAGCGTCCATAAAGGAATACCTCTTTGCACGTTTTGGGTCCATAACAGCAAGCTCAGCAAGCTTGGCAGCAGACATGGCTTTTTTTAAATCAGCTGGTGATGGATCTCCTGAGCCTGATGCAAGCATTTCTGTATTTATAGTTGTGGAACCATCCATAGACTGGCTGTGCTGATGTCGAACTCTTGGCCTCTCACTAACAGCATGAGAAATATTCTCAACAGGTTGACCCGATGATCCAAATGCTGGAGTTTGAGATGACCCTGGAGCCATAGCTGCTGAAGAAGATGACTCACCGGCTTGGAATGAAGAAGTTGCAGACAGTGAATTCAACTTATCCATGTCAAGGTACATAGAGAGAAGGTCCTCCTCGGTCTCATCTGACAGGGATGGGCCATCAAATCCACCAACAATGCCAAGATCACTATCAAAACTGATATCATCAGGGAGTGTTAGAATCTCTGAATGTGCACGCCGGTGGCCCAAATTCTTTGGTGGGTTATCAGGCATGGAGCTGATATCATGACTAAACTGACTAGACTCTGATTGCATCCCAACGCCATAATGGCCTGCTTCTGAAGCACCCGCATGAGGTCCCAATGGAGGCAAATTGAAACATCCAGCAGGCTCAGACTTTGCACTCATATTACTACTAGGCGGTGAGAAAACTGGAGATCTCCCGAACGGAGGCGGCAATGAACTCCCTCCATGACCTGAAGCTTTATCCTTATCCATAAACTACTTTCTTTGAAGTTCAACCCAAACAGAAAAGTCTGACAAGTGAGCTAAATAGCTTGGGAAACCCTAATTCTCACTAAATTTCAAAAACACTAAAGGGTGAAAATGAAATTCACAATCTGGGAATCCAAGGCAGCTGAAAATCGTTTTTCTGCAACCAGCACCTCAAGCTGTAGTGCAGGAAAGAAGCAAAAAGGGGCTTGCTTCCTTCCTTTGCCCCAGACAACCAAACGGGCGTTGAAACAGGACAGCAATAGTCCTTAAACACAAACCCACACCTGATATAAAGAATCTTTTCCGAGCCAACCACTCCTGAATTGCAGCCCTAGAAAAAGAAAGGACTTCGTAAATTGGGGGAATTGATGGATATAGACGCACAAAACAAAACCAAAAAAAAAAAAAAAACCAAAACAATCAAGCAAACAGTGGATGAAAATCGCAAGATTTTATCGAAGAACGAGCGGCGCTAGTTGAAGAAACAAAATAGACATAGTAATAATTACTCGGCAAGACTTTTGGAGAGTACTGTTCGAACAATTTATATTTTTTTTGGGGAAGAAAATGGAAAATGCTTGCGCGGTTTCTCTATTCCTTTGAGATCAGATCACCTGGCTGGACGAGAAGGGAGAAGAAATCAACAAGAGATCAAGAAAGAGAGAGGGAGAGGGGTAGGGGTGATGTACAGTACATCAATGGAGTCGGTCGCGTGCCATAAAAGGCAGAGAGGGGGCATGAACGAGCAAGTTGACAAACGCCCTTTGTTAGATATAAAAATATACGGAGTAAATTAAATAAAGATTTGTAGGCCCATCGCAAGAGATCGTAGTCCGTATTGGGCCTTTGTTAAACAAGGTTCATAGCATTTTAAGGGGTAAATGAAAAAAATGGGATGAAAAAGTAAGAGTAAATTCCATAGTTGATCCTTTATAACAGGAGTGTTTCCATAGTTAGTCCTCTATTATCAAATATTACCCTCGTAGTCCTTTTTTTAAGGGTGCCTTTCCACAAATGGTCTTTTTTTGATCCTCTGGCCTCTGTCATGTTGGTGTTAATTTAAAGGCTAAAAGTATAATTTGACATTAACATTATGTCTAGTGACGTGTTCTGATATTGGTTAAGCATATAATACAAAAATAATGACTATGATTGTGGGCTAGGATTCCGACAAAAGACCACATTTGTAGATTATGGTTGTAGTAGAAAGCGACTGTAATTCACAAACGACGCAAACGGAACAACATTTGGAACTGTGTATGACAAAAAAGAAATATTATCATTGTGAAATTACACTTTTAGTCTTCAAATTAACACCAACATGAGAAGATAAAAAAAGGACTATTTGTAGAAAGATACCCATAAAAGAAGGACCACTGAGGTAATATTTTATAATAGAGTACTAAATAGGGAAACCCCATATTATAAAGGACCAATTATGAAATTTACTCAAAAAGTAATTTTCGTGTTTCGTAGGGTATCTATACCATATATCCGGATGTATGTTGTTTCTTGTACATCCGTATGAGTACTCATTTTCGAGTAACAAAATATTCATTTTTGAATAACTAAATACTCCCTCCGTCCAAGAATAAACTTCCTACTCTACCTTTTTTTCCGTCCGAAAAAAATCTTCCTACTCTACGTTTTTATACATATTCTTCCAAAATTACCCCTCTTATCCTTCAACATTTCTCCTCCCCATTTCTCCTTCCCACGGTAAATCTAGCCTTCTTCATCACTCTCACGCTCCCCCCCCCCTCTCTCTCTCT